TTCGAAAGTGCAAAAGAAGTCACAAAATTGTTGAAAATGGATTGAAACATCAAATTTTCTTCCCCACAATACCTTTCGGTTGAAAAAACTGTGCTGCTTACTCGAATGCTAAACCGGAGCTCAGTAACATCAAGTAGCTGCTTCAGGGTACTTGTTTCCTGGTTATCTGCGACTTCTTTGGTCAAATATTGCAACGGTGAGTAACACTGATTTCACTTGTGGTTCAACCATAGCAGATCAAGCTGAAATTGGTGTTTCTAGCAGTGTTTCAACCCCATCCCAACAGGCCAGTCTCTGCCACATTTTCGAACTTTTTCCCCCAGTCACGGTGGGTTCAGTGGATTTTCGAACACTGAAGTTCGAAAATTTGTGTCACGGGTCACAGCCGCGGAGAATTGAGCGAAATAGTACAGTAATCTCTCTTACCGTATATGGACTTGAACTCAGGCAACAAGTGCAGATGGATAAACATTCTAGCTTGAAGGTATAAAACACTTAGAGGTCCAAATCAACCTCTTGAAGACTCGTCAAATGGTGGTTCTCGGCCAAAAAGTGGTACAGTCGTTAACCGGGAAGCGCAACAACACCACGTAGCGCAACATCACCAAACAAACAGCTTACAAGCACGGCTGGACCGTCCTCAGACCGTATACCCCTGTTTTCGAGGTCGCTGAGCACGATAGGACACATCTAGAGGGTCAAACATTTACGACGACCCAGAAATACGAGTTTCATTGAGCAAATACGGGGAAATGGTCAAATTTCAAGGTTTTTCAAGTCATTTGACACCATCTGGTGGTGCCGCTGGGTTGAAAACTCCTGAGGACGTAGTAGGGCATCGTACCACATGGCATAAAAAATATCTAGCCAAGCAACCCAAGTATAGCTCCATAACGAGCCATGTAAAACTGACCATCTGACAAGCACCAATTGCGGTGATGGCGCCCGAGTGCTAGAAGCCAGAAATCTACAACTCTGAGTGTGTAAAGATGTTTTTGGGGTTGGTGATAATGCTCATGAATTTTCTTGGCTGAAAATATGTACTGCATTGGCCTCAACTATTGACCATAACTTGTTGCGCTTCCACGTTATTTGGCCAAATTCGGCCTCCCAGAAAGATCAACGCCGTATGGGCCCGTCAAGTGCTCAAACCCCGAGAAGTAAATTGGAGGTTGGAATTCAGAACCTTATGAGTCACTTAGCCCTTTGGCGCGCGTAATTTGGTCCAGAAATGGACGAGATATAGGCGGCGCCAACTAAATGTTGCGCTTCCCGGTTAGCGACTGTAGTTGATTATTATTTTTTCCGACCTAGCGGCCGGACTAACTGACCGGCCCTTAGTCGCCGGTTTGAATGCCGGTGCCCCCTTGGGCCGCAGCGACCAAACACCAACAAGCCTCTTCCACCAGTCCACAACCACCATCATCGAAGCTAGGTGGTGTCGATCGATTCGACTCGGACTCGAATCGTGACGATTTCTGGATTTAGGTTGGACTGTTGGACGCTTATCCAGTAGTAGGCTCGGCGTACGGAAAACGACGCTAAACGACGCTGTAGCTCATAACGGGCGATTGACCTAAATCTAGACGTTTGATAGTACTAAACGGGAGCCGAATCCCTGCGATCTTGCGCTTCTAAGCTTTATCCTCACTCTCCTCCTGCGTCATACTGGGACAATGAAGTTTTCGATTACTCTGGGGCCTCTCGCCAGCTTTTTTGCTTGAAGAGTGCTCCGTCTTTCTTGCTTCAAATTCCTCCGATCAAGCTGGAGCCCCTTCCGAGAACCTCCGGAATAATATCGATGTGGCGCCATTCAATACAACCAATTTGCGCTCCTTCTATACATCGACTTGTCCCCGCCCCTTCAAAAAGTCCGATACCCACTAAAAGAGTGGATGAGGATTGATCGCGTCCGTGGGCACCTGCTGTATCGTGTCCCAATGCTCCACAATGCACGCCCCCTCAAACCGGTATATATCGACCACGGACGCCGGCGTTGGATAAAATCCATCGAGCCTCCAATGAACCCATCCAAAGGGCGCCTGGAACGTTTGCTGGAGCACCTCGACGCCGTTGCTGCTGTTCGTGAAGATCGAGTTGACGATGGCGAAGGACGCGGCGGCGCCGTCGAGCAGGTTGGGGTTGTGCTGAATTTCGTTGCTGGCGATATAAACATATGCTGGGGTGGGGGTTCTGGTGTTCGGTGAGTGTCCGGGATCGCGATTATAGATTATAAAGCGGAAAGTCAGATACCTTTTGATATACAGCAACTCTGCGTATCTCTCGAATATTTCCTGCTGTTCGGGGGGTGACGCGGGGTGCTGTACGCAGGTTGTGAGGGTAGCGTTGACCGAGGGAGGTGCAGCTGGTTTGCAGAAAGCCGGCGAGATGGCGGCAAGAGCAGTGAGTAAAGTAGTCGAGGTGCGCATCGAAGTCCAGTGGGTCTGATTAATGATTCAAGCCAATGCATGTTTTCTTTTATACAACCGCAGGCGCACTTGTATCCAAACCCAAGGAGGAATAAATTACAGCAAGATAGTCAGCGACTACATTCAAATTCATTGGTAAACGTAGACGCTGCTGACAGAGACGGCTCGGTTCTGCTTCCGAAGGTGGTCTTGCGACGGGGTCGGACGCGCGGCGATATTCCTGGCCCAGAGGCCGTTATCATAAGACAAACACTGGCTTACAGAGCAGTGATATACTTCTCGGTTACACTTCCGCGAATTGCTAATTTCCCTGGTTGGTGTTGAACTTGTGCATGTCGCACGATGTGTCGATCAACCTTCTCAGATCGATATCATACAGCGCTGCCCTGGCTGTCTTGTCAGAAGAATGTAGAAGAATGGCCCTCAGTCTGTCGTCCAAGGTCGCCAAGTTATCACGCAGCACGATCGCGAGCCGGCTAGCCTAGTTCACGGCCTAGTGATGTTCTGACTGTGGTTTGGCCTGAAAGCCATGGCTTGGCCAAGGCCAAGGCCAAGCTAGGCAAAAGCCGTGGCTTTGCCCTAAGATGGCTGTTGGCGGTAATTTGGTCAATATTTTGGCTTTGGCCCGACAAAATCTGAAGATCTGAAGCCAGGCCAGAGCGAAAGCTAGCCGAGGCCGGCCAAAGCCAAGGCCAAGGCCAAGCCAAAGCCAGACCATCACCAGGTTCGCCACGCCGGCACAACGACCTTCTTACTCTCACACATTCCGGTCAAACCTTTACGCGCGCCCATACTGAATCTTCACCTATCAGTGCCGCGCTCAGATTTCATCTTCAACAGTGAATAACTTTTCCTACCGCCGCCCGTGAGACTCCGGTGATTTGTTGGAGACTACATTTCTTCTTCGAAGTCAGGCCCAGGGGTAAAGCCGTCAAATAGGCGGGCAGCGTGATCCAGTCATTGACTTGAAATCAACTTCGACTTTGCCGACATCTATTCTCGTTCTCTTTGCTGGGGACTCTTAATTCTTGCAAAATTCGACCTGGTACCGGGCTTAGGTACCACCAATTTCCCGAGCACGCCGTTTATGAGGTTAGAAAGCTGGAAGTTGGAGGGATTGATAAACAGATGGTTCCCCGCACATCCAGTCGGTTCCATATCAACGTGCCTGTCATAACGCTTGTCTAGTTGGATCACAGCACAGAAGATGAGCATTTGGTTCCGCGGAAGATTTTTGTATAAAGACGCAAACCCGAACCAGCCAATGTAGGAAGAATCTCCTGCCATGAAAGCTTCTAACTCGTTGAGCCTTTTTCTCGCTTTTGTAGCCCTCGTTGTGTCCTCGGCTGTACCTGGTTTGCACACCTCCAATCCTTTCTCCTCATTGCTAGTTGCTCATAGCGACTGAAGTCCAGGGCGTATCCTCGACTTCGTGCAAGGCCGCCGACCGTGTCCTTCTCAAGACTCACAACGTCACTGCCGGCGGTCACGAATTTCAGGTTTCGACAAAGGCCTGCTCTGCCGATGTCCTCGCGCTTTCTTCCCAGTCGCAGCCGCGCGCCATCGAAAAACGACAGTCCTTCACGGTTTGCGGGATCGGAGGCGAATTTCGATGCGTGGTCGGCCAAGGGGTAGGCCCCCTTGAAGCCGATTGTGCTGCGCTCAGTAGTGCAGTTATCGCGGCCTTCGAGGAAACTGGGGGTAACTGTTTCTTTATATGTTTTTCGCCCTCATGTCACTGATTCCCATCGTCCATTCAGACTCCGGCGTGTTCTCGGTAGCTCCTCAGTTCGTCCAAGAACTTTCTCTGGGGACGTGTTTGTGGGCATGGATCAATGAGAACCCCGTCTCAGGCGGCGCCGTTTTGCAGGAATGCTACAGCACGTTGGTGCGTATCCCTTCCTTCCTCTGCTCCTTCGACGCAAAATATCTGATTCCCGCTGTAGACAAGTTTCCTTGCGCCGGATCTCAATTCCTGCATACTTAACGCAGACACTGGGGGCTTTGTCATTCCGGAGACTCTCAATGTAGGCTTTGATCCCCGTATTCTGGAATGGACCTTTGAGTGCGTCTGGCTCTTGCTCAACATCGAGAATATTACGCTAATTATGGTCTGCGCACAGAATTCTCCACTCGTAATGAGTAATTTCTCGCCACCCTGGGAACTGTGTTTACGGAAATCTATCGACAACGGCACTTGATATTCGGGTTGTACAGTAAATGGCATGCAGTAACCTTGTTTTTTTTTGTTCCAACCTTTCAATGTGCGAATCGGAGGAATAATTGTAGAGCCCGTCTGTGCTCTCTCCCGTAGTAGACCGCATCCGCCAGCTATCAAGTCCATCTCGGACTGTACGGCTCATCCGAGATCACCGCGGGTTATTCGTACCCGGTGCTTCAACATGCCCGAGATGCCCGAGGATCTCAAAGTGAAGGTGCTAACGCAAGGTCGAGTGAACACGGGGAAGCGAGTTTGGGCAATGTTGGACGTCGTGAGAGCCGTTAATTGTAGATAAACCGGGTTTTAATGTTGAATACTTGACCAAAGTGGTTCCATCTGGTAGGTCATCACCGACTTTAGCTCAGTTAAAAGAGCATCAGACTGCAACTGGTTACCGTAACGAATTATCTGAGGGTCCTCTGTTCGAACCAGAGAAGTCGGATGTTGTGTTGTCCTCTCGCGCAAGGTCCCTCTTTCGTGGTTTTGCGGAAGCCTGCGAAGTATGTTCCTCGACAGCAAGTCCCGACTATCCTCCGCCGTTTCTTTTCTACACGAGGGGAAAAGAAGACGGGCGAACCTTAGACGGTGCCTGCGCGTGGAAGGTAGGGCGTTGTCCGTTTGCGATATTTGTGAAGCTGAACGAGGGCTCGTCGGGGCGCTGCGCGCCCCGCCAATCCCGTGGTGTGGCGACCATTTTGTTTAATTTGTTTAAGTATTGAACTCACGATATATAGTAACCCACGCCATGGCAGTACGTACTCGGCGCCCCGCGAAATACGCAGCGCAATGGCAGGCAGAGGAATGAATTGAAGTAACAGTATAAATTCTTCGGTACAGACAGAGATACCTCGATGAACCGAAGTGAAAGGTGAATGAAATCGGCAGAAGAGCTTGTGTTTCGTCGATGCAATAGAGGGGGGGAAATCAGACTTGGATTGAGTTTGGGTGAGCCACTCCGGGAGGCAAAGGTGTTGAGATTAAGGGTCAAAATCCAAGGCAGAGCTTAGAAGCTTGCGGGGAGTAAAACGATAGAAGGTTCGTAAGAAGGAGGACTTGACGTGGACGATGGTTCCAGCGTTGTTCTTTCTGCGAGGGTGTGCTTATCGAGGAGGCAGGGCCATGGCCGCTTTTAAGAGGAGAGCAGTGACGTGTTTATCTGGGAACGGAAGTCGAAGCTGTAAAAGATGTCGTGTCGACTGCCGTGTCGATGTCGTTGTTCCACGTTAGTTTTGATGGCCGAGAAGAAAGAGCGCGGGCGGATCAATGGAGCGATGGAAATATGCGGTGTGCCAGTGGCGGATCAACAAACGGAGCAGCGGAGTTTAGAAAGCCTCACTGCATAATGTTATAAAGAGAGAGACGACTTAAGGGTTTTCCGCTTACCTTACCAAAAAGTAAGCTCGTAACTAGCCTGCCATCACGGAAGTGTAAACACGATACCTACGGCATAGCGCTTGCACTGAGAGTTGCCAGGCTGGTCACGAGCCGAACCGAAAAGCCGGTCAACTCGTCGGCCATGGACTTGGAGTACTCCCGAACTTCGAAGTTTAAATCCGCCACCGTCGTACTACTAGCGACAATCTCCTTTCCGCAATCTTTACGCACTGCGGTAGTGCCGCCTTGTACCGAGCCAATGCCGCCTTAAAGCTCATCTCGCGGCGAAACCTGCTGAATGCAGGATCAAGAAACAAGTAAAGTTCATTAAATTAGCTCTGGCAAACAAGTAGTTCACCACCCGTGCTCAAGCCCATTTATCACCTCGTCCGTCTCCAAACTCGTGAAATGACCGGAGGAGACGAACGTCACCTGTGCATCCGGCAGGCACTTGCGCGCACCAAGATCCTCCCAACCCGCACCGGCCTCTATCGAAGGCGTCATGCCATTATCCGCCACGAACACCGTCACTGGGGCCTGTATCTGCCGCATCCACGTCTCAAAGCTCGCCGCCAGTCCTGCGGGATCACCGGGCAAATCCAACACGAAGCGCACGATCATGGTCAAAATCTGGATGAACACTGAATGGTATGAGCGGATGGAGTCGGGAACGGGTAGTCCAGCGAGCACATTCCGGAGGTGTTGCTCGATAACTTGTCGTGTGGGGGATGGGTCGCGCCCGTACAGGTCGAACAGCTGATTGAACTCGACCAGAATAAGGGTCTGACTCGGCGCATACCCTGCCACTGTTTCTGGGTCCAACGGTAACAACTCCGGTAAGGCGAAGAGGGTCGGGAAATGGTCGATCATTGCGAGCTGTACGACGTGATCCCCGTTCCGCTCGAAATGCAGTGCCAGTTGGGCTGCGACCAGGCTGATACCGGAGAAGGCTGCGAGACGATAGGGGCCGACAGGCCGCTTGGCCTTGATCTGCTGAAAGTAGAACAGCGTCATGGCCTCCATCGAGTCAAGAGGCGTTTCAGGTGTGGTCTGAATGGCCCACAGTGGAGAGTTGAACCGCTCCTGGAGAGGGATCAGTGCGACGATGTTCCCACTCGTCCCATGTATTACGATCAACGGGTTTCCCTCTCCCTCCACTAGCGCCACCACTGTCTGCCCTGGCTGATTCATCGCACTCCAGTTGAATCGACCCTTGTCGACGCTGTCGACGCCGCCGCTCTGCTGATTATTGGCCATGGTCTGTTCCTCGATCTTTTGGTACACGTCGGCAAGACGCAGGTCGGACAAGAGCTGGACCTGCGTAATGCTCAGGTACGGCTTGAGCATGAACGCGAAGCGCCCTGCCGAGAGCGAGTCGAGGCCGTATGAAGTAAACGGAACGTCCGCGTCGAATTCCTTCGGATCCAAATCCAACACCTGCACCGCCATATGACGAACGGTATCGAGCACCGACGACTTCGATGGGCCGGAAATTCCCTCGGCGCTGGCGTCGCGCCCCTTTAAAAAGTGACCGTACATCGGCGAATCACCGAGCTGTTGTTGAAGCGCTTCCCAATCGACCTCGGGGAGATACATTTTGCTCGAGGTAGTGGTGTGGTCCAAATCGCGAATGGCGTCCTCGATGCAGTCGCAAAGATCTATGTTGGTTGTGAGTCAAGATGGGGGCTCTAAGGATAGCATGTACTTACGCCTCGATGTCACCCCCCACGCACTCCACATTTTGAACCGCGAATCGCTCGTAATGTTCTTTTGATCGACCAAGAAATTGCTATTCAAAATCGCCGGCCCGACGATGGAAATCGCGTTGGGGTATTTCTGTATCAGAGCGTCAACAGCAGTGTTAGCTCTGTTCAAGGTAGATTAGCGACCGAACCGAAGGGGAACCAAGAGTATTTTCCACGAACCCAGCGTAGTTCGTTTGCCCTGGACTACCAAATAAACCTGTCACCGACGAGAGTGCGACGAGGAAATCCAACGACGGTATCGTTACGGCCTCCTCCAACGCCTTGAGCGCGCCGGTCTTGCCCGCGAACGGGACATAGAACGTGTCCGCGGTATGCGACACAAACGCACGGTCTGAAAAGATTACGGCCAACAACATGCATCCAGCGAGGGGTGGCTCGATATCGTTCACTAGTGCAGTGGTGGCAACGGCGGACGCTGCATCGCATGCCTCCAACCGAAGGTTGAGATCGGGACGTGCCCGCAGATATGCGAGGAGCCGGATGGCCGTTGTGTTTTTGTCGCGCGCTAAAGAGCCCTCGCCGGAGCGTGAGGTCAGAACGATGTGCCGTGCGCCGTTCTGTAGACGTTAAATACAACGGGAATATCGAAAGAAAATCGATACTGACCTCGTAAATCCACAATGCGATACTGAGGCCCAACGAGCCCACGCCCCCGATCAGAAGATATGAGCGATTATGCTTGAATACGGGAGTCCGGAGGGCGAGAGGCGACAGGGCAGTGAGGGCTAGATGCGCGTCCGGAGTGGGAGCCGTCAGCCCCACCATGGACGAGAAATCGAGATGGTGAAGCGCAGAAAGCACATCGTTCACTACCCACGGGTTCGTCTGAATCTGATGACCGAGGGAGGGTCCATTCCACCAGACGACAGAAGCACAGGAGTCCATCGCGCTTTCCACCACCTGGATATCCTCCGCCGATGTGTAGCCAGAGAAAATGACGTCGCTGTCCTGGATAGTTGACAAAGGGATGTCGGTCGATTCGCCCGTGCATTTCTCGACCTTTGATCCCAGTGCTGAGAGGAGCGCGGCCAAGCATTGACCAGTTTGTTCATCCACGTTGGTCACCAGGAACCTCCGACCGCGCAGTCTATCGGGAGTGCGAAGAGATTCTGGACCAAGGACGAGGGCTAGAAGGACGAGCGGAACCGCGCAGACAGCAAGATAATCTGCTGCGCCATCGGGGGCGGCGACAATCTGCGCTTCATGCACGACGAAGTGGTTCGAAATCAGGTCGGATACGGCCACCCCCACAACGAGGCTGCCCGGAGTCCAGGAAGTCGTTCCAGCGTCCGAAATCACTCCAGAGAAGCCCCGTGAACGCCCGGAAGTGAAAGACAGGTTGGTTACGCGCACAAGGACGCTACGATCGGGAATCGAGGGAGAGGGTTCCATGAAGATGGTGCCGAACTTTAGCTGCCAATATTGCTGTTGGTCAAGCTCCTGGCGAACGGCTTTGGCGCTAGCGCGGACCAGGCGCGGCACAAGTACATGACCGTCCGCGGCAATGAGAGTCTCTGCTTCGACGTCGGCACTCGTCGCGAGATCAGCAATGATGGAGATTCGCCTCGGTGCAGTCCATATTGGGTCGAAAATAACCAGGAAGACGGCGGTAGAGTGCATTTCCCGTCTCAATGACCGTGCAAAGCCCAGCGCGGCCCCACTCTCGGCACCTGATGTCGTACTGATCCAGAGAGTCGAACCTTCGTACTCGCGGATGAGCTGTTGATGTAGAAGTACATCATCTGGGGCGAACTCGATAACTGTGGGACGTTCTGCGGTCGGCGAATTCCACGGAAGTGCTGGCCATGTCGGTTTCTGCGCAGCTAGGAGGAAGGAGGTGGAATCTGTGGCGACACAGGGGTGGAGTTCAACACCCAAAAAACTCGCATCCAGTGATGCTTCGCGCCAGAATGATGCGGATTGGAGGGGGGACGCTGAATCCTCGGCAACCTGTCGGATAAGGGCGTACCCCCCGGGCTCTAGGCAGTGTTTTAAACTTTTCATGAACTTGGCGGGGTCCCCAGGACGAGATGTGGTGGCTATATTGAGAGCAAGAATGATGTCAAACGTCGACCTGTAATCTAGCACTGGAGCATCTGGGTCGAACGTGATGCGGCGAACATTCTCCGCCGGAACGGTAGAGTCGCCCTGGATTGTCCCGAGAGTATAGTCGATCAGTGCATCATCGGAACTTTTGTAGAACCCAGGGTTAACGTCGTCATGCCCTGTACTGAAGATCAACAGCGGCCCCAAGGAACAAGACCATGCATAATACCGAAATTCAGGATCAGAACGCGAACAA